TGGTAAAAAATAGACAAATAAACAAAAAAACAACTTACAAAATTAAATAAAAAAACAATACTTTGTATTTTTGCCTCAAGTTTTTATTTATTCATTTTTATTAGTTCAGCATATGCACAATCGATTGTATTCTATTTTTATGAAAAATTTTTTTGAACCAAAAAAATAATTAAAGAAAACAATGATTTGCATTTTTGCCGCATGTTTTTATTTTCACAATTTTATTTAGTAAACATTAAAAACAATCGTTTGGTTTGTTTCGTATGTTTATAAAATGATTTTTTTATTCAATTTTCTTTATTAAAAACTAGAAAAATAAATAAAAATAAATGTAAAATTAAACAAGGAAAGCAACGATTTGTATTTTTGCCTCAAGTTATCCATTTCCATTAGTTAGTTTGTTTCGTATTTTTTATAACACACGTTTTTATGTATCTTTTTTATTCGTTAAATGGTGTGTTTTAGTTTTCCATAAACAAACAAAATATTAAATAGTAAGTAATATACATAATTTAAATAACAATCAATTGATAAACACAAAAATTATAAAATTAAACAAGGAAAACAATATGTGCTTGAAATTTTTATTAGTTTAATCAATTCGTATTTTTATTTACATGCATTTTTTTATCCGATCAAAACAATAAAATTTATAAAATTAAATGAAAAAACTGCAATTGACATTTTTGGATCAGCATTTTATTTATAATTTTTTTAAATAAATTTTGTAAAAACAAATTCTGCAGCGTTATACTTTGTAAATCACAACCGATTCTTCTCTATTTTTATTATTTTGTTCGGGTTGTTGTTTAAATTAACATGCGACAAATAAACAATCTGACGTCATCGTTATCGATTTTGAGTTTCTCGGGACACGGCAAAACCGCGTGTTCGAACCCTCCCGCATATACCGGCCCGGAATGAGTAAGCCCGGAGCCTAAGGAATGCCTTCATACGCGAAGGATGTTTTGCCGCCACCCCATCCAATTATTTAAATGCTTCGTGCGGTGGAAATTCCGCAACGATAGCCGCCATGGTTTCTCGCACGAAAAGAATGCCTCTGGCATTGTTTTCCTTGGGACGTAAATCGAGACCGGGTCACGGAATCAGAAGTGGGATTCCGGGTCGTGAATCAGAAGTGGGATGGATCGCGATATGAGGATTATTAACACCCGCCGAGATTTTTCTCTGCGTCCCCGGAGCTATTAGCACATTGGATATAAGGGATCGAGACCGGTGAAACTTTATAGTATACAGGCTGTCCGAATCGAGTGACGGCGGTTGATATCTTGGCGACAGACTAAAAAATTACAGTGTTGAGTAGGTACACGAAACGTATAACCTAAAACTTTCTTCCTTTATACAGGGTGTTTCTAGAATATTTTTTCATAATTCATTTCTACCCTTAATTCTAAACGCAATTTGTATATATAGTCTTTCAAATATTTGCCGTTTTTTCAAAAAATATAGGGTGCCTCAAATATTTTTTTAATTTCACGCTATACTAAGGTCAATTGCTTTATTAGGTGCATAAGTTGGTTTTAATAGAATAAACTATTCGGGGGTTGGGTATCCTTCTAAGTAGTTATAGTCGGTACGATTTGCGATGGCATAGTCGGTCATAAAAGCGAGAGAGAATGTGTCTCAGTATTTTACCTGCTTCCACTCGTATACTAAGGAAGGCAAAACCTTTTTTTGCCTGCCAGTATTCTACTTCTGTTTATTACACCCCGGTGTCGTAGTTTCCACAACGAAACAGGGTCGATATCTTTCTAGACGTAGTAAATGTATACCAATTGCATCGACAACAAAAGAAAAAAATATTAGTAAATAGTAGTAAGCAGGTGTGAGTTGTTAAAAATTGTCAAAAATTACAAAACATACTTTTCGTATGCTACAAACGAAATAATTGATGAAATGGGTCATCAAGTTTTAAGATCTCCTTACCATTGTATAATTAATGCCATAGAATTGATGTGGGCTCAATGCAAAATATTTTTTAATAAAAATATTGTAAGTGAGCCAAAGCATTATGATAATGCGGTAGTATCTGTTAGGAAGGCAACCCTCCAGGCTGTTGCCAATGCAAATTGGATAAAAGCATACTGAGAAAAATATAATCGATAAATAAAATTGATATAATGTTACCACCACTTGTTACTTTTAATTAATGTAGAGGAACGAAAATTTTCTGGTAGTAGCAGTTCCAATTTTGGCTCTGCTATCGTAAATACAAACTAAATTTGATTTTTCTTCTCCCTTTTGTAAAATACCTAATTAAAAACTCATCTAGCTTGCGGAAACTGTCATTTTATCACCCTATTTTCTATCAATAGTATTATTCTATCAATAATATAAAGTGAACTGAATTTCATAGAAGACAGTTTCAACTTCTCATTTCATAAAATTTTAACTTAACATTAAAACACCAAACCTCTGCTGTATCCGCAAGACCAAAAAAACTATTTCAAAACTTTGCACCTATAGAAATACTCAAGAAATTTACACCCACGCAACAAACTTTAGATGATTAGATTTAAAAATGTCAAAGAGGTCGGTAATTTGTTTCAAAGAGTTGGTTCAATGATTTGTAAGATAAGTATTTTCAGGTGTTCTGCAATTCTTGCAAAGAACTTGCCTTAGCCAGAAACGCAAAATTAGTTATTATTTGTTGTTGGCTATCATGCTGGATTTTTTGGAAATGCTCATTTACAGTTGCATCTACTTTAGCGAAAATACTAATCAATCCAGGAAATATCCCGGGAATTTAAACGCTCCGCAAAATTTAAAACAATAATTTTTGAGACAATACAAGGACATATTTTCATTATGTTTCTGTATATTTATTCAATAAGCAGAATGTAATTGAACCCTAATATTGGTTGACGCTAATAACGCAAATTCCGTACAATTATGAATGTGGTTTTTAGAATTTTTTGGTTTTTTTATTTTGAAATTCAAATGCTGTAGAACGGTCACCTCTATTTCCGCCGAAGCTTTATGGCCACTGAAAATGTCTTCGCTAAATTTTCATTTGTAACTTTTTTCTGTTTTACATCACCTTTTTCAATTGTAGTATCTGGTCAATTGCTTTCAATTCTAACTTTTTTTCGTATTTGCAATGTGCAGTGTGCAATTTTTTGTTTTATAACCATATTTTTCCAAGATGTCAAGCGCTACCTTTACCTTTCCAGAAATCGGGATCGTGTTACAAATCAGGAGTGTGATGAATTGACATTTTGCTAATTGGTTTAGATTCTACTATTTAATGCGTCGGTTGTTGTGGAATTGAACCTGCTGATGATTCGCCAATCATCATGTTGGCTTCTTGAGAGCCTAACTTAACTACTTATAAAAGTCTCTATTTCTGAAACTCTCAATATCATTTCAGATATATTAAAATCAGAGAACCTGGAACTAAATTTTCTCATCTTAATTGAAAAATGCTTCTCTGGAACATATTTTCGTTGGGAACAGCTATGGGTTATTACCAGTCATCGCTAATATATTCATGGAAGCCCTGGAGACGAAAGCCATCGACACATTCCATCTAAAATCAAAATTAGAGAAACGCTACGTTGATGATACTTTTGTTATTTGGCCTCATGGTCAGGAATCCCTACTAGATTTTCTTATCCATTTAATTTCTATACACCTACATGCGTTTTACCATTGAATTAGAAACCATTCATATATCAATAGAAAATTAGACCTAACATTGGGTTATTCTGTTTATAGAAATCCTACCCACAGAGATCAAATGCACATCACAGTACGGCCCAAAAATTATCGTTTATTACAGACCCGTAAAACTATCTCAGCTCGAATCACTGAACCTAGAATTCAAACATCTTACATTGGTTCTTTCCTCTAGTAACTTCACTTCACCATAACCTTCCAAAGACAATGAGTCCGAAAGCAACCATACATTTGCCACTGTTGTCCTTCCTTTCCTCTATATGACATTTGATAAAGACACTGTGTTGTCGAAACAATTTTCATGTCACAATATATAATTTCGTGAAAATCTGAACTTTTAGTTCTTATTTATTTTGTTTTACGATCCTGATTTCTGGAAAGGCAAAGGCAGCGGTTGAGATCTTGGAAAAATATGGTCATAAAACAAAAAATTGCACACTGCTCATTGCAAATACGAAAAAAAGTTAGAATTGAAAGCAATTGGCCAGATACTACAATTGAGAAAGGCGATATAAAACTGGAAAAAGTTATAAATGAAAATTTGGCCAAGACATTTTCAGTGGCCATAAAGCTTCGGCGGAAATAGAGGTGACCGTTCTACAGCATTTGAATTTCAAAATAAAAAACATAAAAATTCTAAAAACCACATTCATAATTGTACGGAATTTGCGTTATTAGGGTCCACTAATATTAGGGTTCAATTAATTCTGCTTACAGTAGCCTGTGGAAGTTTGTGTGAAACATTAACAAGCCTTTATGGTTTAGATTCCACTTCACCGTCGAACCCCCTGTATATCTGCGACCTAGATCTATTTACGACCGCTTAAATTTAACAACGTCAGCGTCGGGTCGCAAATTCTGCGGGGGATCAAATTTTAATTAATATATAAATAATGCGACGCAATGTTATCCCGACGTGTTCCGTTATTGGATTCTGTTTAATGCGATGGATTTATTATGTCCGGCATATTGAAAAATCGCGGTACATTTAATTATATTGGATCGAGGCAAAGCACGTGCACCCCTGTTTAATCGAGATACGACGGGAAAAGTCCCGGAATAGGAAGTGGTAGACCGGTCTAAAAGTACCTAAATGTGTGATATTCTTTATTGCTTTTACTAGACCGCAAAGTCTGGTGGAACTTTCTATTAGATTTAACCATTATTCCTTACGAAAACCACGCACCGCTATCCGGTACGCCTTCCAAGGCAGAGTCTCCAGTGATATTTAACCCCGATTGGTTGGCACACCTCGCTAATCGGAGCACGGGCTTATTATTGGGCCAAATAAGGTAACTTACGTTTTTTTCGGGTCGTACTGGGGATTCTCGGAGGGATCCCTCACCCGTAGGTTTTTTCTGATGTCGCTGGTTGTGTTGGCGGTCCTGCTATGGGAGAGCGAGCCGGGCAGAAGCATAGCGATCTCTGCAACATTAAAAGACGTTACACGAGGTGAAAATCAAACTGACGCACGGTTAGTTTTGGTTAGTTCACTTTAAATGGTATTATCAAACAGGGTGAGAAAGTATTTATATATATTTTTTATCGCTTTACATTTAACTGGCAGCTAGTATTAATAATTATAAAATTACAAATTGTACATGACAGACGCTTTTATACAAGGAATGATGTGCCCTTATTCAGCTTCCATCCACAATAAGATGCTGTTGAAGCCAGTACACGGTGGTTCACTTAAAATGCTCCAATACTTTACCTTCATACGCGGCGTTAAGTTATCTTAGTACGACACTGAGGAAAAATGTGAAATACAAAAAGTGTATTTTTATTGTATTTTCATGTATACAGGGTGTACTAAGCGGATTATCTATTAGCCACCCTGTACCTGGTGTTTTGGGTATTTTTATGGGGTATCTTGGTTATTTTTTTACACAGAAAGTTGTGGTTTACCTCTTGGTTTTTGCGATACAGGAAGTTTTTATAGTAATTTTTTCCGTAGAATCCAGTGGCGTGGCTTATTTTCTACTTGCACAAATCGTTTATTAGTTATGAAGCGAAGATATACTTTTTGAAATAGAATACCCTGTATATAATTTTTTATGTTAATTGGAAGTCATTTAAAAAGAAATATATATTAGTATAAAGTTGTTTTTAAAATTAAGATCAAAATAATTTTTTCTTAATATTTTATTTGTAGCAGTAGACCAGAATTATTCTATTAAAAACTATATCCAAGTATACAATCTTTAACATACAAGAAACCCAATGCTTTAAAATTCAATTATTTATATGTGTTTTATAGGTTATGAACTACTACGAGCCCTAACAACTAATTGTTCGGACGGTGTATGAAATAATAAGAAAACATATTTATACTTATTTTAAATTGATTTTTTTTGCCTTTTCGATTGAAAAATGAAATCACGCACTTATTTTTATACCAAAAAGTGCTATCGTAATGAATTTTTTTTTATCCCACATAAATTACATAACAAAATATCAAAAACATACCGAATTTGCTGACAAATAAATATTCGGACGCATTTACATCTTTTACTTTAAATCGAACATTAATAAGAAGTAACATCACCTTTCGCGGCAATAACAGCTTTTATGCGTTTTGGCATGGAATCTACCAAAGTCTTGCAATATTCGGGGGTGAAAGTGTTCCAAATTTCGGTTATTTTTGCCTTTAACGCTGGAACTGTACGCTGAGGATTGTTACGGAAAGATGCCATAAAGTTTCAATAATATTCAAGTCGGGGCTACTTGATGGCCACGATAAAACTTTCATGTTATGGTCCCCAAACCACTTTTTTGTTGTTTTCACAGTATAGCAGGACGCACGGTCTTGTTGAAATATAAAATTTTCATTTCCAAAAGTTCGTTCTATTGATGGAATCAAACTTCTTGATAACGTTTGTTGGTATTTTTCGGCATTTACAGTACCATCAATGAACTCGTAGTTGCCAACCCCTTTACCACTCATACACCCCCATATCATAACAACCTGGGGAAATTTTACCGTGCGCTTTAGACAATCTTTGTGAAAGGCTGATTTTGTACGAATCACCCTTTTTCGAAAATCGCCTACATAAAAGCTTTTTCTTCTGAATAGACGTTAATAATGGTTTTTCCATTGCGTTTAACAAAAGTAGATCATAGAATATTAATAATTTTTATGTTGAAACAAGAAAAATTGTAAACTTACCTTATAAAAACTCAAACCAGACTTATGCATCCATTGTCTACAATAGTCCCTGGAGACATTTAAGTTTGCCTCGTGATTCCATTGGGCTTGAATTTGTCGTAAGACGCTTCGTCTGTTAGTTTTACAAATCTTTACCTGAATACGACGATCTCTTTCAGTGATTTTACAGGGTCGGCCTGAACTTTAACCACGAGCGCTAACACTAGCTCTCTCTCCATACTTTTTTATATAATCCCCGACTGTTGATTTTTCAATACTCAACTCATTTGATTTTTTTTGCATTGGTTTACCTCTGCAGTATTGAGATATGATAATTTCTCGCAGTTTTTTGTTTGTTGCTACACCACGCGTCATTTTCTTATCAACTATTATACAAACTTGAAAGATACAACCCGAACTGACATCTCATTTATCTAAGCACACAACATTTTACCATCAATGCATGGGTAGCATTGATTTCTGGGTCAATAAACATTCGCGTCCGAATATTTATTTGTCAGCAAATTTGGTACGTTTCTGTTATTTTGCTATGTAATTCATGCGAAATAAAAAATAATTCATTACGATAGCACTTTCTGTGCTAAACTGATTATTCAATCGACAAAGCAAAAAAAAAAAATTAATTAGATTTAAAAATGTCTTTTTTATAATTTTTTACATCGTCCGAACATTTAGTTGTTAGGGCTCGTACTTGTAGCAATTTTTAACTTATTATAGCCCATTATTACCTTAATTAATACATTATATTAACAAAATATTATACCTAAAACTGTTGTTCAAATTGGAGACCATTTTGTCCAATGCAAAAGTGACACATTTCTCTTATTTTTTAATGACATTTAAAGGAATTATTTGATATCCAATATAAACAAAACATATTTCTGCAATATAAAAATTATACTGACTACATCGCTTTAAAAACCTTACCTGTGATAATATAATTCCGTAGCTTTTTGAGCATTTTCATTGCATTGTTTAAAAAATACCAACACATCATATTCTCCAGAATTTCCATACACTACCATTACAGAAAATTAATTAAAGTGAAATAAACACAGAAAGAACAAATAGATAGGTAAATAAATATAATTAAATTTGTGACATTTGCTTTTTTGTTTTTAATAGATGAGTCATAACCTTAACTTAACATTATGATAACATAACATTTTTCATATTAATAAGACATTATCATTTAAAAAAATATATTTTCATTCCGTTTTTTTGAAATCAAGTAACGAGTCTTTTGTATAGTAATAGCTGCTTAGATGTGCCTTATTTTTAGTTGATTTAGTTGATTTGGTATGGCCTACTGCTAGAAATAAAGTAAAAAATTTAAAAATTTGAATTTCGAGCTTAATTTGCAAAACAACTTGGTACTATATTTTTGAGAAGCATAAATGATTTCCAATTAATGTACAAAATGATATATAGGGTATTCCATATTTCCATTTCCATTCCATATTTAATTTCACAAAATGGAGCACAATGTCTTTAAAAATAACCCGCAAAAATTTTCAAAATGGGATATCCTGTACATTCGACGGAAAATGTCGATTAGACATCATGTGGCGGCACAAATGTGATGTTTGTATACAGAGCCAAAGAGAGAGATGGAGAAAACGCAGCTTGCACTTTACACGTTTCCCTTTTGATACGCAGATACGTCTGATTAAGTCTCGCAAATAACGCTTTCTCGGCTTTTAAGACGGCAGTCGGGAACGGAATTCGACTCCATGCATGCAAGTAGAAATAACTCGCTACCGTAAATTGATATATAATCGCCCGAGGCAGTCGTACACGACAAAAATACTCCCGAGACCGCGCTCGGTATCGGGCCGCTTTGAACGCGTCGTTGCTTCAGAAGCGGGATGAATTTGCGAGCGATATTGGTTATATTTTCGCGTGACTTCAGAAGTGGGATTTATTATTAAATGTCAGGTTCGGAGCGCCTAATCCGACGCGAATGGCACCTTTCCGTCGCGAAATGTCTCGCTAATGGATTCGCAGCCCCCGCCGTTGTGTTAATAGGTTCGTCGGGTTTCTAACGCGGGTGCGACGCTGTCGGATCGCATGAGGATGTGCGAGACATCGCGTGAGCTGATTGACAGCGACCCGCTCGACTATAATATCGAAATCGAGGGATCTGCCGGTAGTGTTGAAAAAAAAACCAACATCGATGCTTCCAAGTTTATTATTTTGAACTATATTATTCAGTTTTATATATATTGATTTCAAATCACCACTACTTTTGTCTTGGTATATTTAGTTTCATTCAAAATCCATCTTTTTTCGGCTACTACTCACAGATCGTCGACAAACACTCCTTCAGATACTTTCACATTTCTCAAGTATCCATAGGGAGTTGAAAAATTCGGAGAGTTAAAAAAAACGGTCCTCATTTTTCGAAATATTGAAACAGAAAGCTTAATAAAAATAATTAAATATTAAATAAGTTGATAAAATGACGGTTCCCAGCTTTTTTAAAATATTGGTTCGTATATTCTGCGGCACAGTCTAATCATCGAGAAAAAATGTTATATATTTATTATATATGCTATTTTATTTCTAAAGCTACTAAGCTTTGAATACGAGACGTTCATGCGTCTCATTAACTTGCAAAATTTTTAATAATTTATTTGCTTTTCAACCGTAAAGTAAATGCTAGAGTTCCAAAAGATCATTCTAGAGTTTTTGACGTAAATTACATAATCACTTTCCGAAGTGTCCTTCACATAGTATGCTTCCCGCATCCTATGTCCCGCTTTATAACCTGATCGAGTAACGGGAATAATCTGGTTATTATCTAAATGAAGCTGCTTTTGCTCGTATAAAACCCTTTTAAAAGATTTTTTAAAAAGTGGATAATATACAGATAGGGTTGTTGGATTTACAATTTTTGGTAAAGGTGGCACGGCTGCCTTTTTCCCCTTATCCGGGAAAATGGAATATTCCAAGCAATAGTTTATAACATTATAACAATATTACATTAATTATTTTTTGATCATTTCAATAATATTATTGATTATTAAACCTAGTTGAGTATTTGGTTTGGTTTGGTTTTTTTGGCAATTTCAATCAAATTCTGCTCGTATAAGTTTTCAAAGGTCCCGTCGCCTCAATACTCGACGCCCGATATTCCGAAAGTTTGAGGCCCCTCGCCCGCGTCAGGTGTTTTTGCAGATCCCCCCTGCCCCTTCGCCACGGGTCCCTTAAATATTAATTTAACTCGGACTGCTGCGAAATGCGAGTTTCCTCTAAGAATGCGGGGAAAGTTGAGCGGGCAACTTTTCAAATTAATTAAGTTTCGTTTTTTTTCGTGATTGTTACGCGGGAATTTAATATTCTTTAATTATGTGAAGCCCTCCTTCGATTAGGGTATCTGCTCCGGTGTCCGGAGCGCAAAAATCCGGGACCGGCTAATTGGGTTTTAATGGAGCGCAGGTCGTGAAAATTTTTCCTTGGAAATCTCCATTCATTACGCTCGACATCGGTAGGGAAACGCGATCTGCAAGTAAAATGCGATAGCGATGTTAATGGGGTTAAGTTTATGTCGTTAAGGGCAATTTGTCATTGCTCGGCTTATTATAAGAATGACAAGCGGGATACGGATATGTTAAAATGTATGATTGCATACAATAGGAGTGGGACGAAAGTATATGGCGATCGATATAGGTATACCGGCCCCAGAGTTATAAGAGATTAATAAAAACTTAAATTGTTGATATAAGACAATCGGAAGCTAACTCACTATTTACGAATCTTCTTTATTCCTCCTTCGCCAGTTGTTTATAAATCGGGCTTGCTTCGTGATTGTTCGGGAACTGCTGATGAGTTTATTTGTCCTAGTCGGGCTCTTTCATGTTCTTTAGACCTAGTTGATATTTTTAGTCCTTACACTTAAAACATCACTGACCACACATCAAAATTCCAAAAACCTCTCTTCAGTCAGTGAAATACAAAATTCCTCTGGAGATATCAGGAGTTTACTGCATTCCATGCATATGCGGCAAAGAATACATTGGAGAGACCAACAATATCAATCAGAAATCAGATATTATTCCATAAAACCAAAATTTTTGAATGTAATTGATTTCTCAACCATAAAAAAACGAGAATTTATAGAAATCTGTAAGCAACCAAACAATCTTAACCGCGACGAGGTCTTTCATCAGTAAGGGAATCAGTCATCCGAGACAATGTTGGTGCCCCTCCTTTGGCTCCCCGCTCTCTCACATCAATAAACAACTGACGCAGGAGGAATCCAGACGATTTGTAAATAATAATTTAAGGTACTTAACCTTCTTGAACAAATAAAGATGTTAGTATTACTACTCTAAAAAAAGGGAATGATTTAGACTACCCCTATGACTATTCTTAACTAAATTTAAGGAAAATCTTAAGTGTTATTTAGAAACTTCTCTCTGCTGGTATTTTTTACCGCATTACATATTATTATTACTTTATTTATTTATAATTGCTTTATTTGACATTGCTCAGTTAATTCCAATTTATTATATATACTCATTAATTATCTAATGATTTAATTAACCAAGAGATTTTGAACCGAGGATGATTTTTTCCCAATGTTTTCGCCAAATGAATACCGACGATCATTCTTTTTATTCAATTCTCTTTTCGGAACAATGAATTCTTTTCTTCTTCCACTGCCATCACCTGACGGAGGTTGGCGACCACTTTTCTAAATGCGTAAATGCGTCTTTGTCTCTTGCAATGTGGAACACCTCTCCTACACTCATCTGAGTCCAGTCTCTGATGTTTTTTAGCTAGGATTTCTTCTTTCTTCTTATGCCTTTTCTTTCATTTACTCGTCCCTGCATGACAGTTAGCAGTAGTTCATACTTTTGATTTTTTAGATTATGGCCCCTATAACCTGTTTTTCCTCGATTGATCGTAATAATTAATTTTCTTTCTTGTCCTATTCTGCTTGTTATTAATAATTCTAGCCGTCCAGGGATTTTTTAAGATTCTGCGATACAACCACATTTCAAAAGTCTCTAGTTATTTGGTGGTCTGAACCGTATATATATATATATATATATATATATATATATATATATATATATATATATATATATATATATATATATATATATATATATATATATATATATATATATATATATATATATATATATATATATATATATATATATATATATATTTATATATATTTATTTATTTATATATATTTATATATATATATATATATATATATATATATATATATATATATATATATATATATATATATATATATATATATATATATATATATATATATATATATATATATATATATATATATATATATATATATATATATATATATATATATATATATATATATATATATATATATATATATATATATATATATATATTCTTACCTCTCCATCTCAGGGTCGTGAAAAAGAAACGCATTAATTAATTAAATTCGTAATTTAATAGTGAGGTAAGACAATGCCTAGGCTAGCTCATTAACAACCGAGAAAAATTAATAAAGTAGAAAAAAAAAAAATATATATATATACTAAACCAAAGCCAGGTTGGAAGGCGGTGAAGGGCACCTCGGTCAGTCCCGGAAGGTGGTAGGTAGGCGCCACGTGATTCGAAAAAGGTAGACTTATCAACCCGAGGTACCAACCCGTAAAGGAAATAAACAAGTGAATCACGAACAATAATTTATTTCCTTCAACCTGGTGGTAGGTGTGAGTGTCAAATCTCACCTTCAAGTTTTGGCGGTGCAAAAGAATGTAAGACACTATAATTTAAGGCTATAAGTTCCGCAAACCGTTCTTGAAGAGAACAGGCCACTTAAGCTACCCAAACCTCAAGATGTCCCGAACGTTACACAGCTGTCTGTCACTATCCCGGGAACCAAGCCAAGATGGAATGGTGGCTCAATGAGACAGCCGCAGGTGGGCAGTCTCAGTTAACCCAGCAAAGTCCGTCCGGAAAGCCGGCTGCTCGATAGGGGAAACTCCACAACTAAACATGTACCCAAGAGACAGCATACACTGCAAGACACCAAGTCTGGTCTGGTATTCCGGTGAAAGAAGAAACCACGTGGAAGGTTTGCGGGAAACGGAGCAACAATACGTACAATACTAATTAAAAAAAAAAAAAAAAAAACCCTAAAATAAAATCGGCATAAATTGAGGAGCACTGATTAGGTGGCGAAATGGTTCCAAAAGGTAACTTACCTCGATTCGAGGGTTTTCTGGAAATATGGGGCAATGACAATTCTTTTCAAAATCCCTCGTTGAGGAAGATTCCCATTCCAAACTCCAAATAGATCCAAAAGTATGGGAAATCATAAATTAGTGACCAATTCACATATCCCCCTCTTATTGGGGTAGCACTACCGGCTCAAAAAGAAATCGGTCACACAAAAGAAAATCTGCCACAACCCCAAGCTTCAAAAGCCAGCGTACAAAATGCCGGATGATTCAGACAACCAGTTTAATTAAAAGGCTAAACGGGCACAAAAAATTAGAGGGAAAACGCCACTCTTGCCAACCTAGTCGACGGTACGCCGCCAGTAGAAAGAACAACCGAACTATATCGAGGTTGCGTCAACGAGATCGAATTACCCGAACGCTATCTATGGTGGCGACCGGACGGCCAGTCACAGAAAATCGAGGAAGAATAGGTTAAGAAACAAAACAATGTTTACTAGGCTCGCCAAGGAATACCGAAGCAATGAAAAGCAAATGCGGTCCCTAGTCTCATAGAGTGACAGATGGTAATGGTTATGACTCCTTCTAATGCGCAACTAATACTCTGTTTTTTTGCATTAGTATCTCTCAGTAAACCGGTGTCACTTAAGAGAAAACCAAGCGAACAAGGGGCCACGCACACAGCCGTTGCAGCATAAAATTTTTATGGTTCGGCAACACAATCGGCCGGGGAGTACAAGTCCGAAACTAAAGGAACCGAGTCTACAAAAGAACATGTGTTCAAACCTAATAAACAAGAATTTTAATGGTTAAGAAGCACTCGCCAAACAGCAAAAGGTGAAGGAAATGGACAGTACAATTAATTCTACAAGGTACTAATAAAATAAACCTGTTACTTAGCAAATGTGCCAGCACTGGTACTTTAAAAATGCTAAATTTTACCATTGAAATATGAAACCGTCACAATATATATATATATATATATATATATATATATATATATATATATATATATATATATATATATATATATATATATATATATATATATATATATATATATATATATATATATATATATATAAAATGTGATGACACTATATTCCGGGATATCATCCGTTCGCTTGTTGAACTCCGACTGGAATCCTGCAGATGTTTCGCCAAAATCTCACTTGGCATCTTCAACGCTCGCGCTCCGAAAACACTTCGAACACTGGGGGGTTCTCGGCGGTGCGTGCGGTATTTATACCCTGCGCCGGAGATGGTAACGGTGCTGCTTGTGCGTTGGGGGAGGTGGCTCCGCCCCCTGAATTGTCGCGTTGTTAATTTCGCCCGATCGTAGTTGCGATGTCCCCGTTGGCTGCTGCGCATCGCTCTGCTGTTTGATTATCGTTCTCCACGTGTTGGATAAATGCAGAGCGTCGTCTCTCGTATTGAGGTGTCCGGACTTTTCTATTTCGATGGCCTCTCGTATAATCCTAGTCCTAAAATCAGGAATATTAGCTATTTGTTTGCAAGTGCCGAAATCAATTTTATGGCCTGTCTGATGTTGGTGCTGAAACAAAGCAGATGTTGTTTGTTTGTTTCTTATGGCTAAACGATGTTCCTCGAGACTGGCTGAAATCCTTCTGTTGGTCTGTCCCACATACGTCAGGCTGCACGATTCGCATGCTACACTGTATACTCCTTGGTTTTCCAGAGTAATTTTTTGTTTTGGGTTTCTTAGTATTGCTCCGATGGTATGGTCAGGTTTGTATGCCGTATGCAGTAACCCCCTTGATGTATGGCAGGACAGCGATCGATCTTCGTTGGGTCTCGTCCTGCACACTCTGCTGCGGCTGTTGTTGTTTACTGATTGCCTTGCTGATGGTGCGCCTTTGGTATCCGTTTTGTCGAAGACAGGTACTAATTTCCTTCAGTTCTTTATCTCTGTTTAATGTATTTGCCACTGCCTGTATCTGTGATGGGTGGTGATGAGATTTAGCGTTCAGATATTTATTAGTGTGTGTTGGTTTTCTATAGACAGTGTGTTCCAAGTGTCCATCTTCGGTCCTTCTGATGTGCACATCTAGAAAGGGCAGACTGTTATCCTCTTCAAGTTCTATTGTAAATTGAATCCTTGGGTGAATGGAATTCAGATGATCTAGGAATTTCAAAAGCTCCTCCTTGCCAAAAGGCCATACAACAAATACGTCATCAACGTATCTTGTCCATAGTTTTGGCTTCAGATTTGCCTTCTCTATTGCTTTCTTTTCGAAGTAAATCATGAAGAGGTTGGCAATCACAGGTGAGAGAGATGATCCCATTGCTGCTCCATCTCTTTGTCGGTAAATTTTCCCGTTGTACATAAAGTAAGAGTTTTTCAGGCAATGTCTTGACAGATCCATTACGTATGGCGGAAGATCTTCGTTTTCTTCTATAAGCAAGAGTGCCTCTTCTACTGGAATACTCGGGTAGAGGGATTTGACATCGAAACTTGCCATAATGTCGTCCTTGTCCATCCTGAGAGAACCTAAAATCTGAGTGAAATGTTCTGAGATTTTAACATAGGAATCTGCCTTTTCCACTATAGGCTGAAGTGCACTGGCCAGATGTTTTTCCAGCTTGCATAATGGTGAGTTAAAGGCGTTTACGATTGGACGCAGGGGAACCCCGTCGTTATGGATCTTTGGGAGCCCGTAGAATATTTGGGCAACGACTCGATTTTTCCCTCGGAATAAGTTTCTTCTTTGTATCCTCATTTATTGATGAATCGAGAATTTTGGACTTAGTTGTTTTTTCCAAATATGTCGTGGGATCTCTGGTGACTAGTTTGTATATTGGGTCGTTCAAAATATCCTCCAATTTTGCATTATAATCCGACGTATTCATGACGACAGTGGCATTTCCTTTGTCTGCTGGCATTATTAGAATGTTTTCGTTTTTGTTTAGATTCCTTAAGGCTTGCATTTCTTCTCTGCTTAAGTTTAGTTGCGGTGGTTTTGACTGTCTTAAGACTCTGGCGGCATCTTGCCTAATTAACTCCGCATCTTGTTCGTCTATGGTGGAAAGACTTACTTCGACGTTGGAAACGATCTCTTCGACGGGTACTCTTTTTCTCTTTTTGGAGCTATTGCATAGTTAAATCCCTTATTCAGTACGCTGACTTCTGTATCGGAAAGATGGTATGCTGAAATATTATGAACTGTACTGCTTCGGTCTGTATTTGGCACTTGTCCTGATTTTTTGGAATTGATCTGAAGGATTTCTAATTTCTTCCACAGTTTTTTTGACGTGATGTCCTTGTCTTTCTCAGTGCGCCATGAGGTTAGTAATTCTATGCGGTCCCACAGCAACTGATGGATCTTGTTGCTCAGTTTCAGGTGGAGTCTGAAAAGTTGTAGCTCAGTCTCACTAATTTCGTACCGGGTCCGCCTGATCTGGTCTTGGAGTAGGGCCTTGCTAGCTTTGTCCAGGATAGCTTGTGTCTTTCTGGTGCGTGTGTGATAAGACAACCTTGTAAATGTTGGCAGCAAGTTCTGGTTGCGGCAGCTTTTAAGAAAATTCAAGTTGCACAGCGAAATAACCCTCCTTTGTCTTAGTTTTTCATAACACTTGGTGGCTGTAAAGGTCTCCTTCCCGTAAAGGTGTATGATATTCTCACGTATTGATTCACGGATGGAAAAATGTGATGACACTATATTCCGGGATATCATCCGTTCGCTCGTTGAACTCCGACTGGAATCCTGCATCCGACTGGAATCCTGCAAATCTTGCATCCGACTGGAATCCTGCAGACGTTTCGCCAATCTCACTTGGCATCTTCAATGCTCGAGCTCCGAAAACACTTCGAACACTGGGGGGTTCTCGGATTTGTTAATAGACAAGGAAAGGAGTGAGGATATAATAGGAATATTTAAAATTGAAAGCATCAACGATTGGGTGCTCAACAGAAAAATAGAATGTCCGCAGAAAGAATCGTCAAAGTAACGAGGGACAAATCACCGACGGGACGAAGAATATATATATATATATATATATATATATATATATATATATATATATATATATATATATATATATATATATATATATATATATATATATATATATATATATATATATATATATATATATATATATATATATATATATATTTATATATTTTTTACTTCTTAATCGAAACATATCTTATTTCATTTTAGTAAAATCAAACGGATTCTCATTACAATTTGTGTCTGTGTATTATTATTCCAAAAAAATGCTTTTATAGGTCTAATGATGTCTGTGTAGGCGAAACACGTGTAACATTTTACAGATAATAATTTTTGAGACATCAACTTCGGAGTTTAATTGAATCCTTGCAGTTTTAGTAAATTTGCATTTTAAAATTTTAAATAAAAAATGTATAAATGCATGCTGCATTACAAAAAAAAATCAGCCCAGATTTTGTTTTCCCCCCTTGCCGATTATTATTTCGATTGTCGCCTATACATAGGAAATAACCGTACTTTTCAAATTTTTGGGACGCTTCGAATTGAAAATCGGTGGGAGAGTCGTAAAAAGTCCCCGTAAAACGGTCGAAACTATTAAATTCTCGCGACGGCGGTCTATTAGTGGCGATCCTATCGCGTAGATTGGTTATTACCGCCAACAAATAGCCTAGTTAAGCGGTAAAAGTTATCTTCGACGCTGGCGGAATGCAGCCCCGCCGAGTAAAATGGCGAATAAAGGCGAGCATTGCCCGATTTTATTTAGCTGCACGTCTTTTATTATTTCGAGAGTGGGGGAATCCTATGAAATGTAATAATTTATTTAACGACGGCATTCAGCATAATTGATTTTTCTGTATATGCATAAAAATGTGTATTTTGAAACGGACTATACGTATACAAACAGAGTTAATCAAAAGTCGGGAAACGGCCATAGGTCTCAGGAATTATTAGAGTTAAATTCATGAAATTTAGTATACGAGCGTTTCTAATTAGGCTGATTCCAATGGTTTTTTCCCTAAGCTATAAAACTTCAATTATCTAAAATAGATAGGGTATATTTCTATCCCATTATAAAATTGTTCTTTAAATGAATAAATGAATGAATAACAAAAACTGAAATTAATTAATCATTTAATCAATAATAGTAGAATTAAATTTATGAGCGACATAATAGGAAACTTTTTATTTGTAACCTTATTTTGTGTAACCTTAGATATTGCACGGTGAAATTAGGCACGTACATATATAATTAAGGTGTCTAATTTTTGACATAAAAGCAATAAAA